TCTTCTTCTTCACAGCTAGCAACACCCAAGACCTTAATATCATCTGCAAATTTAAGTAATTTATTGACTATTCCAATATCTATGTCATTGATGTAAATTAAAAAGAGCAAAGGTCCTAATACTGAGCCCTGAAGTACACCACTTGTGACTTTAATCTTGTTTGACTGAATTCCATTTGTAACAACCCTCTGCTTTCTTTCATCCAGCCACTCTTCTATCCAATTTGTTAACTTATCCCCCACATCTATAGAGCTAATTTTTTTACAAGCCTTTTATGTGGCACCTTGTCAAATGCTTTCTGAAAATCCAGATACACCAAATCTACACCCTTACCCTCATCTATATAAACAGTAACTTTATCACAGAATGTTAAAAGATTTTTAAGGCAAGATTTTCCCTTAGTGTAACCATGTTGACTATCCAATAAAATTCTAAACTTTGTTAAATGACTTTTCAAAGCATCTTTTATCAGACTTTCCAACACTTTTCCCACAACTGATGTAAGACAAATGGGTCTGTAGTTACTGGGACAATTTTCAACACCTCTCTTGAAAAGAGGAGTGACATAAGCTAATTTCCAATTTTCTGGCACCTGCCCCTATTCAAATAGTAGTGCCCCCCAGTGGCACAGCGGTATGTTTGCAGGCTTACAACGCTAGAAACCGGGTTTCGATACCCATGGTGGGCAGAGCACAGATAGCTCATTGTGTATCTTTGTGCTGAATTACAAACAAACCATAATCAAATAATAGTAAGTGGCTCATATATCCAATTTTTAACTCTTGGGGAAATATTATCTGGCCCAGGAGCCTTATCGTTCTTTAAACTTTCTAATTTTTTCTTAACCAGCTCAGTCATCTTGTTTGATCTCATTTCCATCTATCAACTGTCCAAGATGTGGAATACTATTTAAATCTTCATTAGTAAAAACTGAATAAAAAGCCAAATTTAATAACCCATCCATCTCACAATCATCAGATACTAGTCTTCCTTTGTCATCCCTCAAGGGTCCGTCCTAACATTTTGTTTCCCCTTAATGTGTATAAAGAAATCCTTACTGTTAATTTTTACATTTTCAGCCAACCTTTTTGATGTCCTAATTTCCTGTTTCACCAACTTTCTTGATCTTCTAAATCTCCTGTCATACCGGTCAATTTAAATTTATTATGCTTTTCTTTAATTTTATCTCCTTGTGAGCCAACCTGGTTTTTCACTTGTAGCTACCCTTTTCTTTCTATAAGGAATATGTTAACCTTGAATATTTACAAATTTATCTTTAAAATTTTCCACATCTGATCAGCTGTCCAATTCACAACAGATAATTATTGTCACATTTCTTCAGATTCTGCTTTTTTGAAATTTGTAACCAAAATAATATTATACCTTATCTAATTGCAGCAAAACATTGAACCTAATAGAGCAATGATCACTTGCACCCAGATTCCTCCCACTCGATCATTTCTATATTAAAAGTTAACATTAAATCTAAAAATAGCATTGTTTCTTGTAGGTTCCTTGACCAATTGGTGAAGAAAACCATCTTGAACAGCTCCAAAAACCTAGAGAACCATCATGATTTGACTCTATCATTTACCCATCTATATGTCTGAAAATTATGACCTCATTAACAGCTGAAATCTTAATCTCACTGTAAAGTTTCTCACTAATTCATAGCAGCTATATTTTAACAGACCAACTTATGGGAAGTTTTCACACAGATTTCCTGTATTAGTTTGATTTTAAAATATTTGTTTTGCTTCACATATTTGTACTCTTGAATATGAAGTAATCATAGACGGTTATTCAAAGTTCATTAACTTGCTTCATTTTTTATACTTACTACTAGTTTTCCACCTTTTGAATTGAACGTTATTAACCTAATTTATTTAAATATTTCATGTTTTAAATTTTCAGTAACGATAGCTGAAAAGATTGATTTTAAGTTATTTCTTGAAGGTTTAGAACCCAGGCTACGAGAATTATGTTCAGAGCTACTCGGACCTGTGGTACAGACAACCAGACAGAGCAGTTGGAAGTCTTACACCATGGTAATTCTTTACTGTTATATTATCGTGTAAATTTTGATTCAATACACCGAGTCTTGTGTGTAGAGGTTTAAACACAGGAAAACATTTTACTGAAAATATCATTTAAAGTTTTTCTACACTGTTTGTTCAAGTAGGTCTCCCATCAATTAGTAGGATTTACCAAGCCAGGAAGTGTTAGATTAGGTCAGGGACATTTGATTTGAACAGTATTTGTTCAAGTAGGTCTCCCATCAATTAGTAGGATTTACCAAGCCAGGAAGTGTTAGATTAGGTCAGGGACATTTGATATTTTTCCAGTGATAATGGAGTTTTATAAAGTGGTAGATTTTTGTCCAAGTTATTGGTTATCAATTATAAAGAAATCCCAACATTTAAAGTGATTAACGTTTAAAAACTACTTTTACAGTAACAAAATGTCACATTGACAAGAATGTTTTATTCATTGTACAGAGTATTTCAAAACAAGAATTGCTTTTATTCCTCTACTTTCAACAATACATTAGCTTTGAGTAAAATGCATGTCAGTGTGTAGGATATTGTGATGATACTTGAAGCACCTTCATTTAAAGATCTTCCATCTGAGAATGACGTAAAACATATCGAGTTCTTTCTATGGCAGTTTTTTGCACTACCCTGTATCAACTTTTTCATGTGACTTTAGTGAAAGTTTTTTACATATGATTATAATTACAAGATTTGTCTTTATAATCATCTATATGATATATAATATTTATCTTGTATATTTTGCAATGAAGGGAGAACAGGCAGGAGTAATGTAGATGCCGAATTTTATTTTGCAACCAGGATATTCTAAACTAAATTGTTAGGAATTAATGACACTATCGTTAACATTTTAAAATGTGACGTAACTCGAAGAATAAAAATGTAGATTTATCGTATGTTATTGTTGAGCTGCTCTTAGCACGATAGAAATGCTCAACAATTACTTTTCGCAGTAGTATAAGTAGCTCCGAGTGAAACCAAGAGTGCAACACAATTAACCTTTTTTAAAGTCCATGAAATAATTTAAATTGATAGATTAACTTAAACTTTTCCCATCACTGGGGACGGGTATTTTTGCTTGTAATACATATGTATATTTGAAACTATGACATTTTAGTTGAATAAATAAGGGAATTAGCAGCTGTAAGAGATCATTAAAATCTGAATTTTTATTGTTGCGTTTTGGTTAGGAAGTAAGCAGGGAATGTATTTTTTATCTTTTAATACAATATTGTTGTGAAAAAGCTTTTTATGTAAAGGCCATTTACTTTCTATTAGTATGAAAATTAATGCTATAATCATGAATAGTGTAGTTTATAAGAGAAGTTATAAACATGATTATTCCAGCTATAAACTTTTAGTAATGATTCTGAACGGTTGGTTTGGAAGCATACAGGCCTCTAGCCCGTGAAAAGTGGGTTAAATTAATAGATACAAAATAATATAGTGAGGAAGGACTAGTCAAAAATAGGTTGTGTCAGTATTTATATGATAATTTTATTGATTAGAAATAACCAGCTATGAAAAACGTAAACACCATTGTAGTATTGTCTAGTTTCAGCTATATTTTTGAAAGGTATGGTAAAAAAGGTTAATTTGATATTGTTCCCTGAAACCTAAAGTAAACACAGAACAGAGTAAATATTCCAGAAAATGTTCTGGTCTATTGCAGTTTTTAGGTAATATATAAAATATTTATTTAATAATTGATGACCTTCAGACTTACGGTGTCATGTTTCCAAGCCAGAATAAATTACTACAATGAAAATATTAATGAGTTAGAATAGTTGGAAGTGAAAGTTTAATGGCTTTGCTTCGATCAACGGGGCATGCAAACACTGTTTATAAGACATCAGTTATTTTGTTCTAAGTCCTCCGGTGGTGCAGCAGCAAGTTTATGGATTTACAATACTAAAATCCAAGGTTCAATTCCCCTTGGCGGGCACAACAGATAGACCAATGTGGCTTTGCTTTAAAACAAATTTTGTTGTGAAATGTAATTATAGATCAGTGGCGTAGGTGATATTAAGTCACAGTAGGACTGGTAATTTTTAAAAAGTTCATAGATATTTTCTCTTATCTTCAATGTTTCACATCAGTATGCTTTTTGAAAATACTCAGTTGAAGGTTTGATGTTGCTTAGTATTAACATCTCTGTAGACACAAGTGTTTAGCATTAACTTCTCTGTAGACACAAGTGCTTAGCATTAACTTCTCTGTAGACACAAGTGCTTAGCATTAACTTCTCTGTAGACACAAGTGCTTAGCATTAACTTCTCTGTAGACACAAGTGCTTAGCATTAACTTCTCTGTAGACACAAGTGCTTAGCATTAACTTCTCTGTAGACACAAGTGCTTAGCATTAACATCTCTGTATACACAAGTGCTTAGCATTAACATCTCTGTATACACAAGTGCTTAGTATTAAATTCTCTGTTGACACAAGTGTTTAGTATTAAATTCTCTGTTGACACAAGTGTTTAGTATTAAATTCTCTGTAGACACAAGTGCTTAGTATTAACGTCTCTGTATACACAAGTGCTTAGTATTAACGTCTCTGTAGACACAAGTGTTTAGTATTAACGTCTCTGTATACACAAGTGTTTAGTATTAACTTCTCTGTAGACACAAGTGCTTAGTATTAACTTCTCTGTAGACACAAGTGCTTAGTATTAACTTCTCTGTAGACACAAGTGCTTAGTATTAACGTTTCTGTAGACACAAGTGTTTAGTATTAACTTCTCTGTAGACACAAGTGCTTAGTATTAACGTCTCTCTAGACACAAGTGTTTAGTATTAACGTCTCTGTAGACACAAGTGTTTACTTCGTACACACACACTAGTTTTTTTTGTACAGATGAACATTTTATATATATCCCCCCAGGGTCTTTCTAAACGAGAGCTGCTACGAGAAATCTTACCAGTCATGGGCTCCAATCTGAAACTTCAGCGACTAGTAACAGAATTTAAAGAACAGTTGGATGTAATTCTTACCTGACAACGAGTTGAGTGCGATCTAAAAGACGTATTAATTTCTTCAAACACGCTCAGTGATCGACTTGGCCAGTCATGTGTATAGTAATCATAATTTCACCGGTTATCGCTCTGCACTGTGCCCATTATCATTTTATGTGTACTTATTTCCTCGGCTATTCTGTGAATCTCTCTGTGCCATTTATTATCAAGCCAAGTACAGCACTAGACTTTGAAAAAGCATGTACTTCATCCTTTGTTTTTCCAGCGTACATAATAATTCTTAGAAAGTTCTAGTTGACTACAAGGTTTCCAATTAGAATACACCTTCATTCTGGACATGTTGAAAGTCTTGATAATATAAATCGATTGAACAGGATATATTTTAAATATAAAATGGTGGACTTCTAAAGAAAAGTGATAACTATCAATGTACTGAAAGATTTAATGTCATGTACTGTTCAGAGACTGGTGATGAACTGGTTAGAAGATTCAACCTAGGACGTAATGTATTTGTTCTAAAGATTTTAAAACTCTCAACTCATTAAATATTTATAACTTCACATACCGAGTCCTACTTAATGGAACATTTAACAGCAGCTTTTTTTTTACATGATGTAAATTTCAAGGTTTTAAGTATTCCCTCATTTTATTATGTGATATAAACATATATTTATGGTAACTACTTTTTAACACAAGTTTCTTTGAAATTTATCATTATGTATAAATTTTCCCTTTTGTTGAAAAAAAAATTGTTTTGTTGTGTCTTTTGCAGGGCACATTACAGAGTGGATAGTTTTGTATAAAACCATGCAGGCAGTTTACAACAGTTAATTTATTTAATTAAATCCAAGTTATATTAAGGTCATTTGTGCCCAAGATTACAAAAATTAGGTACACGAACAAATTGAATTTACAAGCTCATATTGTAACATGTTTTAACTGGAATTTCTGTACTGTACTCCATTGTCTTGGTTTAGCTTATTTCTCAAACAACTTTGGGCAAGTAATAATTGTTATGCTTAAGCATGTGAGCCAGTAAAATATGATGTGAAAGATAAGTGTTAGACTCGGTCTGTACCCACAAGAACGTGTCTTTACCAATATTGTAAATAACACTAACTCTCAATAAGGAAAGGATGGTTTAACTGAACATTTAAAGGTTGTACTCTCACACATAGTAAGTTTGTTGTAAACATTTATTTATAAAACTAGTATGTTTTGTGAAGTTGAAATAAATGAGGATAACCTTTCTTTTTATCATTTTAATAAGCTGAGAATAAATCCAGCATCAATAGTACACACTTAAATTGAGGTAGTCTTTCATATATGCCTTATAATCATGGTTCAATCAGAAGTTTAGTAAATTCACATTGAAAAACCTTTGAACTAACTCTTTCTAATAGGAAAGGTAGATTATTCAAACTCGGGTCATTAGTTCTACAACAACGGCTTCAAAAATATCACTATCGGTGATTAAAGATGAGTTCCAGTAGGATCAGTATTCTACGATATATTGTCATGTAGGTTAAACCATCCTAATAACTGTAATGGTCATTTACAAGTTACTCACAATAAACACCTCTATATAAAAAGCTTCTTAAAGCATACCTATGTTTTAGTGATGAGAACTTCTCAACATCAGGAATATTTATCAACTTTCCCTAATGATAATTTGAATTCTCATCAATGTAACAGAAAAAGCAATATTCAGTTTTTTTTTTTTACTTGTCGTACTCTGCTAGTCTCCCATAATTACTAACAGTCTTTAACGAAACTCAAAAGTAAAGTTGATTTTATACATCTGAGCAAAAACAAATGTTAATATATTCGAGCATTTTTCTTAATTCTAACAACTAAGATTGGCGTCAGTATACCTATAAAGTGATATTATTGTTAAAAAAAAAATAACTTCAGGAATGAATAATAATTAGTTTCAACAGTAACATAAATTATGGCAATATATTTCACGAAGAGGAGAAAAACACTGCACCAATACTTGTGTAGAATGTGCTCTCTTAGCTGCCCAGTAAAGAATTGATACACAAAGAGGAGAAAAACACTGCACCAATACTTGTGTAGAATGTGCTCTCTTAGCTGCCCAGTAAAGAATTGATACACAAAGAGGAGAAAAACACTGCACCAATACTTGTGTAGA